TCCCTGGTTTTCTGTGAGCCGCCCTGAGTCCCCTCAGGGAAAAGGGCGGCCTACAAATGCAAATAAAACCTCAAACCTCAATGTGAACCAAAACACGTTCCTCTCAACTTACCACTATAGCCTAGCTTTCTCCATGTTCATGCCTGCTAGGCATATTGGACTACATCTGTTCCTAGCCACTATTGCTAGTAAATGTAACATCCAGTGAAGTCCAACATATCTAGAGAGAAAACCTGTAGATTGTTATGCAGTCCAGTTAAATCCTCCAATGCACAGTGCTTTTAGTCACTTCTTTCTCTTTTGTAATTCTCCCTCCCTTTCTTTCTTCTCTTTTAGCAGAGTAGAGACAGAAGCAATTATATTGACTACAGGAGGGAAGAAATCACAGCCAAGTGAAACCATTGAAGAGCCAGTTGCTAAATTGTTACATATTTCCCTTAAAATAGTGTTTGCCAAAGCCAAACAAAAAATCCAAATAAAGAACCCATAACTTTTCTTCATTTCTTAAATAGAAATAACTGTTTTGCCACAACAGTAGTGGATTCCAACTGGTTCGGACCGGTTTGCTGGCCTGGGTTGCTGGAACCAGCAGTGACTCAGGCCTGCCACACACCCGAAAAAGATATCCCGTAGGTGCCGCCATCTTGTTTTTTGCTTCTGCACATGTGCAGAGCAATTTTTATTCAGCACATCTATGAGCGAACCGGCAGTAGAGACTGCCAGAACCTACCCCTGCCCCACAAGTGTATTTCTGAAGGGGAGTGATCCCATTGACCTGGCAGCATATGGAAATGTTTATCTCTCCATTTTCATTCTCTTCGAGGAGATGAAGGAATATGTAGCCCCATAAAGCCTATTCTTTAGCTCTACCTCTCATCAGATGAGGACAGCATGAAACACTTGCAGTAATCTTGCAATTATTATGTTAAGGATGTAATCCTAGTCTTGGGTTGGCCAGATATATATATATATATACCATGATTGAAATAATGTATCTGTCATTTTAAATGATCAAGTGAGATGTGATTGGATGCTGTTGCTTTAATCAGCCATAAGAGGGAGTAGGAACTACTACTGTTTGTTCCTGGTTGTTCCTGGTTGTTCACCATGCTTATTATTGGAGTTGAATACTGTATATTGGATGGTGGCTACTCTGTATGTTAGTTACCTGTCTACATGGTGAATCGTCAGTTAAGCATCTGTAGACCNTACAAGAAATACTCATATAAAAAGCCCTTCATAAGGTATTCAAAGAGAGGGATAAAATAGTATTTTGTACTAAATTTTTGAAATCCAGGCAGCCTTGCAAAAAACTGGAGCCAAAATACACTTTCTCCACCATCAAATTTATAAGCCTGATGACTGTGGAATTAAAATTGTCAAAAACCCAGTTTTCTACTGTCAGGCCTGCAGTCATATTCATATTAGGATCTTTGGCCTGCCACACAAACTCTCATTTTACTATGCTGTTTCATTAGTGGGGTAATTGGGAGGGGGAATAGTAAGGAGTAGAATTGTAGAATGTGTTGTCAAAATAAAACATTCCTTTCTAGAAGCCCAAGGTCATCTTTTGTCTCCGCACCTGACCAGAACTAGATGGGTGGAAATGCCAGCGAGGCAGAGGAAGATTGGACCATGTGATGGACTGTGGGTGTGGTGCAAGATCATGAACTTTCAAGCGGGTGGAAAACCCAGGAAGTTTTCAGATTCGGGTTTTCCACAGATATACCAACATGTCTCTCTTATTAAATTGGAACGTTGATGGAAGCTATGCCTTGAACTCTGATTAATTCTGAATGATATTTGGAACACAGACATCAAGTGAAGTATTATTGTGGAATACAAGTCAGGCTCTCTTTATACTGTTTCAAGAGGGAACAAAAGGGATTGATTTGTAAAATAAAGCAGCAGCCACTCACACTGTCTGGACTTGCAAAGAGATGTTTGGGAGCTGCCTGAGCTTTGGTAATCTTCAGGTAATTGGCCCAGCTGAATTCATCTTCCTTGTAACCTAAACCCCATACATAAAGGAGAGATAAGAGGAGACATGGCAACAGAAGTCTATAGTGTTTCATTTTAGATACAGCAGGAATCACCATCCCTTTTCAAGTGCCAAGCAATATTGCCTTATGGTGTAAAATGGCACTAAGATCATTTTTTTCAGTGACTAAAATCTTGTGAAATTTCAGCAATTTCACAAGCTGTTCATGTTCTCACTTGAAAATCGATAATATTTCTGGTGAGAACTTGAACATCTGAGATTGCCATTTTTATTCTGAAATTAATATTTCATTGTGCACTTTTATGGATGTGAACTGAAGGGCTTGCAAGTACCATATCATGCCACCTTTGTTCTACAGCAATGAAGATACTGCAGTTGTCTCTGAAGGCAATGTCAGTATATTGACTTTCCTTATAATACTGAGAACCCCAGAAGAGACAGTTTTGCACTAGTAAGATATCCCAAACAAGACCACCCTGTCCTTAAATGGCTGGGTGGATTGGACATTAACATTTGACCCACTATAAGTCCATGTATTTGCCATAAGCTAAATAAATAAATCCAAAACAAGTCTTGATGTCTCTCACAAGATTAGGTTTAGGATTCTTCTGATACACATATATAGCTTTCAATGATATAGATGCATACTTGCGATGTGTATAGCTTTCTTGATGAAGAGTTATAACAAAATTGTGCACGTGTAGCTACCATAACAATGATGGCAAGCCTATGGCACGTGTGCCAGAAGTGGCACGCAGATCCATCTCTCTGGGCATGCGAGCTGTCGCCTGTTGCTCTTCCGGGTTCCGGCGTGCCAGCCAGCTGGTCTTCACACCCACCTACAGGAGCGCCGGAAACCGGAAGATCATCTTCCCAGCATGCGCATGTACACCGGCCGGCTGCTCTTCTGGCTTCCAGCACGGGTGTGCACGTACGCATGCACACTCCCATTTCAGCACTCAGTGCCAAAAAGGTTTGCCAATACTGTACTATAACATCTCAGTTATCCTAATTAGGATA